TTGATGGTAGACTACTACCCTGACATTACCCTGGTGGTCGTGTGCAGGTGAAATCATTAAGAGAGGCCTCACCCAATAGGACAGCTGTCCTTAGGAAAGGAGAGATTTGGAGTCACAGACACTCACAGAGGGAAGACCATGTGAGTAGATATTGTGAGAACTTGGCTATTTTAGGACAAAGAGAACGACTTATGAAAGATGCTTGCCTCTTAGCCCAGAGACTCACCCAACCATCAGACAATGAGTTTGGACCTCTAGCCTCCAGGACTGTGAGGTAATAAATGGACATATCATTTAAGTTGCCCAGTCCCTGGTATTTGATTTAGCAGTCCTACAAAGCTAATGTAACATCCTTAAATCACCACGATTAAAACACCTAAGACTAAGCCATCAAGCAAATAAGAAATAGGCGGTAAAGACTAACAGCTCTTTCCCCCATCCCCACCACCACCGATCTCCAAGGTGGCACAACCAAGGAGGTCTCCTGTGGCTCACCTTGGGACAGCTTCTCACACATGGGGCCAGTTGCTGTGTCTCAGAGGATGTAGGTCCCCTCATTGGCTGACTCAGAAGAGTGTGGGGCTTGAGCTGCTCTGAACAGAGTCTCCCATCATCCCCATGATGAGGTGTTGCATGTCATGAAATTTTAAGTTTCTCAAAAACAAAAGTTTGTAGCCTGAAAGGAACAGAGTCAGATAAGTCTGGATGTGTCAGAACAGTAACATCAGGTTCTAGGGAGCCTGAATAGGTTTTCTTTCTTCAACTTTTGGATTTAGGTATTTCTGTACTGGGTTTGGGTCCTTGTTTCTGTTTTCCAATGAATTGTAATGAATTCCAGTGAATTCCAATGAAGCAATTCCAATGAATTGAATTAATATGAGTAGCGCTTAGAAGAAATTGACTTGGGGGGCACCTGCGTGGCTCAGTCGGTTCGGGTGTCTGCCTTCAGCTCAGGTCATGATCCCAGGGTCCTGGGATCGAACCCGGCATCGGGTTCCCTGCTCATTAGGGAGCCTGCTTCTCCCTCTCCCTCTGCTGCTCCTCCTGTTTGTGCACTCCCTCCTCTCTCTCTCAGTCTCTCTCTCCCAAAGAAATAAATAAATCTTAAAAAAATAAAAGAGAAGAGATTGACTTGGGTATGCTTGTCCTATTAATACTATTTTCCTGTGTTGATGCTTATGACGTATTAGCGAAGCAGGAGCCCTTCCCTTATATCATCTTAGTAACCACAGCATTAGACCATGACTGCTCACCAGGTACATTTTTCCTGACTCACCCACTGAAGGGAATAGTCAGATGTATTCACTTTCTGCTCTGGACTTCAACATCGAACCCCATTTTCTTTCTCCCTTCCCAGATTTCGTGTGTGTCACTCACACTTGCATTCCCAGTCTTCCATCCACAACCCATTTTAGGTGCATTTTAAACTTGTTTTCCTAGAGCTCCCATTTGATCTGAAATTACAAACGCAAAAGAGCCCACGTGTGCCCTCCTTCCCCGACATACATCACACATATCCTAATGGATTCCCATTCTTTTTTTTTTTTTCAGTTTTTGTTTTAATTCCAGTTGGTTAACACACAGTGTTAGATCAGTGTGGGGTCAGCTGACTTTCAAAGCTCCAGGCTACAAGTCCCACTGGTTATACAAACTCATGGTATTCAGCCCTTCTGGTTTCCACAGCCGAACAGTATGGGTATTAGCTTCCCCCGTGTGAGCTCCCTGGTGCGAGGGCCCATTTCTCTGCCCTCTCCCCATGCACAGCTCCCACCTTCCTGCTGGCAGCCTCCCTCCACGTTTCTGACCTTCCTAACCTTTCAGATGGAGCTTCCTCCCTATATTTAGTTGTGGGGTTTGTTCTTCCAGTCCTTGGGGTGCTCTCTGGTTTATTTAATCTTTCTGGATGATGTCTAGTTTTAAATGTGGGACGGGGTCAGCTCAGGCTCCTCCTACTTTGCCATCTTCCCAAGCTCCTCTGGATTCGTGGTCTCAAAATGACTTTTTAAATAACATGATATGTATGAGACAAATGTGCATGAATAACTTTGGAAAACCACTGTAAGTCATGTGAACAAAAAGGGCCTTTTGAACAAGCAGCAATCAGCATGATAGAAATTAAGTGACTTCGTGAAACAGGATTTTATTTTTCTAAATGGTCCACAGTCCTTTCTCTGAAAAGGCATGTGGCTCTGAAAAGAACTTTTGGCTTCAAAAATTCAGTTCCCCATGTAAATGGCCATTTCTAAGGACCACCCACAGGGATTTACTGGCACTTCATTTTATGGTAGCTTTCCTTTGGTATTTATGCAGCAAGTCCCCCGTCCCTTTCCATATCCCATTGGCTTTATCTCTCAATTAATGGGGTCAAGAAAAGGTTGGATTGCTGTAGTTTACCTAGCTTTTGTCTCACTGTTTGGCTCAGAGAGACACCATTCACAGGCTTCTACATTCAAATCAAAGGTCGTTTAAGAATTTATTTTAAGAGTGCACATGGAACACAGGGGAAACATAACGAAATAGTGGGTTTTCGTGCAACCTGTAACAAATTTCAAACGATTGAAGACCCCCCAGCCTAGCCGTCGAGTGTGTTCTCCCTTCACAGATATATAGGAAGCTGGAAATCAATTAAATCGAAAGCACTTGGATAATCACCAACCGCTTTGATATTCAGCATATACCTATAGGAGTAGGAAACCAAGAAAGGAAAAAGCCCATGCGCCAAGAAGTAAAACACAATGAGTGTTAAAGTGCATTACCATTACCCTAAGACCTCCTCCCATCAAATCACTTGAGGTAGAGGAAGGAGTCACTTTAGGTTCTCTTAATTGTCAAGGATCCTCTTATTTTGATGCAAAATGCTAGGGACAGTTCCCACTCTGACATCTGCATGTTGACACTTCAAACACCCTGGTTCAAAAGAAGCGCTTCAACAGAAACCCACAGGCAGACATGTCAACGATCACACCACCTTGCCCCTCAATCTCCAGGCACAGGAAGGCTATTATTGGTTCAGGCCTGGTCACCCCAGTACACTTTGGGCCAAGGGCCGTGGATCCTGCGTTGCCAGTTGCTTAATGGCTGCTGCCAGCGGAGGCTGGGAGCACAGCTGCTTACATTGGATGACCCTGTCATCCAGGCATAATTGCAGGGCAGGAAGCCTTTTGTGTCAAGGTAAAGATGGCATGCTACCAAGACACAGATTCAGATAAATTTTTAAAGAAGTAATGTAGGCCTTTTTTTTAAATTTTATTTATTTCTGTTACGTTAATCACCTAAAGTAGGCCTTTCACAAGGTCGGGAGATTGACTAGGGCACAGTTCTAGATAGGTTGAGTTTTCTGCACGGTGTTTGGGTCCTCTTTTATGTGTTTAACTGAATTAGGATGAGGGGATACGTTGAGGGAATGTGAATGGGGTAAGGGTGAGTTTTGTATCTGCTACAGTGCTTCACTTGTTGCTGTATCAACACACTCGGAAATTCTCTATAGGATAGTATTCGAAACAAGTGGGAGAAGGAGAATACAAAAGGCAAGTAAAATTATTGTGGACCCAGCTGTGTTCGTAAAGTCGTGGAGACGATGACCTGAAGGACTGGGCTACTTAGGAATGTGATGAAAAGAGACGTGGTCAAGGAAAACATAAGTGACTGCCCCTCAAACATATATTAAAGTGGACTAGCTCACTGTAAAGGTGTTTTAAGAGCAGGCAGAATGGCACAGGTCCAAACGCTAGAGTAGGCGGGTCTCTGGAGGGTTACAGGTCTCTTGTGCCAAGTGAGGTGGCTCTGAAAAGAGCCTTTGGTTTGCGAGGTCGTCAGGCGGTCCGGAGGCAGCCCATTCGCGTCCGTAGAACCTCATGACGGCCTTCATGGCCTCGGACATGGCGTGCTTGCCAATCTCCCCAGGCAGCAGCAGGCGCACAGCTGTCTGGATCTCCCTGGTGGTGATGCTGGAGCGCTTGGTGAAGCAGGCAAGGCGAGAGGCCTCCTCGGCGATGTGCTCGAAGATATCCTTGAGGAAGGGATCCATGACGCTCACAGCCTCCTACGAGAGGCTGAGGCCCTGGTGAACATGCTTCAGAACCCTGGCGAAGTAGGTGGCAAAATTGTCGGGGCAGCGGCGGCAGACAAGTTGGTGGCAGCTGCGGCCACTGCCACGGCAGCAGCCTCCACGCCTGGGCTGCTTCTGCTTCCGGCTCATCGGGTCCGCTGCTGTGGGCTCCTCGGTGCTGAGGCTTTCCTCAGAAGAAGTCTCACAGCCAGGTTCAGCCATGTGGGGCTCACCTTCCCGACAGCTCAGAAGGAAGGGCACTGGCGGTGGCTTGAGTAGCGAGGGCCCATTTATAGTCGCTCATTTCCTGACGTCACCGGCAAGTCCTATCTGATTGGACAACATGCAAAGCTAAGAAGTGGGTCACTGAGCCAGGTCTTGTCAGATCTGACCGCTTGCCCGCGAGTTGACGTCTCTTCAGTCAGAGTCGGAATCAGGTGTCCTCTAATTTTCTTGTGACGGCCACTACAAAAATGTTCAAACATTCCATGTAAAGGTGTAGTTTCCTCCAGATTTCCAATATGAAATTTTTTTTTTCAAGGAGAGTCAGAGAGAGAGGGAGGGGAGTAGGGGAATGGGCAGGAGGAGAGGGAGCAACTCCCAAGCGGGGTCCAAGCTCAGCACAGAGCCTGATGTTACTCTGTATTTCACAACCCTGAGACCGTGACCCGACATCTGGAGGTAAACTACAAGTTTACATGGAATGTTTGAACGTATTTCTGGCGGCCGCCCCAAGAAAATTAGAAGCCGCCTGATTTCGATGTCAAGCTCAAGGGAAGGAATCAGATCTGACAAGACTTGGCTCAGTGACTTGCTTCTTGTCTTTGCATTTTGTCCAATCAGATAGGACTTGCCCGTGACGTCAGGAAATGCAGCGACTATAAATGGGCTGGCACCACTCAAGCTGCCGCCAGTGCCCTTCCTTCTGAGCTGTCGGAAAGGCGAGCCCAACATGGCTGAACCTGGCTGTGAGACCTCTTCTGAGGAAAGCCTCCGTACCGAGGAGCCCACGACAGCGGATCGCAAGAGCCCGAAGCAGAAGCAGCCGAGGCACAGAGGCCGCTGCGGGGGCCGCCGCCGCCGCAGCCAGGACAGTTTCGCCACCTACTTCCCCAGGGTTCTGAAGCAGGTTCACGAGGGCCTGAGCCTCTCGCAGGAGGCCGTGAGCGTCATGGGTTCGTTCGTCAAGGACATCTTTGAGCGCATCGCCGAGGAGGCCTCTCGCCTGGCCCGCACCACCAAGCGCTCCACCATCACGACCAGGGAGATCCAGACAGCCGTGTGCCTGCTGCTGCCCGGGGAGATTGGAAAGCACGCCATGTCCGAGGCCACCAAGGCCATCATCAGGTTCACCTTCCACCAATGAGCTGCCTCCGCACAGCCTGACCACCTCGGAAACCAAAGGCTCTTTTCAGAGCCACCTAACTTGGCACAAGAGACCTGTAACTCTCCAGACACCAACCTACTCTAGCGTTTCGACCTGTGCCATTCTCCCCGTTCTTAAAACACCTTAAACGTGAGCAAGTCCACTTTAATATATGTGTGTGGTGCCGGCTGTTATGATTTTCCTTAACCACGTCGCATTTCATACCTTTCGTAAATGGTCCCTTCCTTCAGGTCAGCGTCTTCCAGGCTCCTTACGGTCACAGCTGGGTCCACAATAATTTTCCTTGCCTTTTGTATTCTCCTTCTCCCACTTGTGTCGAGGCGTGTCCTATAGAGAATTTCCGAGTGTGTTGATACAGCAACAAGTGAAGCACTGTAGCAGATACAAAACTCACCCTTACCCCATTCACATTCCCTCAACGTATCCCCTCATCCTAATTCAGTGAAATACATAAAAGAGGACCCAAACACCGTGCAGATAACTCAACCTATCTAGAACCGTGCCCTACTCAAGCGCCCGAACTTGTGAAAGGCCTACTTTAGGTGATTAACAGAAAACGCTAAAATAAAAATAAATAAATAAATAAATAAATAAATAAATAAATAAATAAATAAAATAGTAAGGCATACTTAACTTCCTTCAAATTTATCTGATTCTGTGCCTTGGTAGCCTACCATCTTTCCCTTTTGACGCAAAAGGTTTCCTGCTCTGCAATTATGCCTGGATTACGGGTTATTCCAATGAGAGCAGCTGTGCTCCCAGCCTCAGCTGGCAGCGGCCAATAACCAACTGACAGCGCAGGATCCACAGCCATTGGCCCAAAGGGTGGTGGGGTGACCAGGGCTGAAACAATAATAGCCTTCCTGTGCCTGGAGATTGAGGGATAAAGTGGTGTGATCGTAGACATGTCCCCCTGTGGGTTTCTGTTGAAGCGTTCCTTTTAACCAGAGTGGTTGAAGTGTCAACATGCAGATGTTAGAGGGGGACATGTCCCTATCATTTTGCATCAAAATAAGAGGAGGCTACTTTGCAATTAAGGGAACTAATGTGACTCCTTCCTCTACCTTAAGTGATTTGATGAGCAGGAAGACTTAGGGTAATGGTAATGCACTCTAACACTCATTGTGTTTTTCTTCTGGGCGCATGGGCTTTTTTCCTTTCTTTGTTTCCTTTTCCTACAGGTCCATGCTGAAATTCAGAGTTCTTGGTGATTATCCAAGTGCTTTCCATTTAATTGATTTCCAGCTTCCTATATATCTGTGAAGGGAGAACACACTGTAGGGCTGGGGTGGGGGGGCTTCAATCCCTTGAAATTTGTTACAGGTTGCACGAAAACAATATCTACTCACATGGGCTTCCCTCTGTGAGTGTCTGTGACTCCAAATCTCTCCTTTTCCTAAGGACAACAGTCCTATTGGGTGAGGCCTACCTTAATGATTTCACCTGCACACGACTACCAGGGTAATGCCAGGGTAGTAGTCTACCATCAAATAAGGTCACATTTAGAAGAACGAGGGATCAGGAATACAACATATCAATTATGGGAGCACAAAGTTCAACCCATAAGAGTCAGGCCTCTCGCCCCCAAAATTCATGTCTTCACGTCCACAATGCATTCATCCTATGTGAATGTCACCAAAAGTCTTCGCCCATTCTAGCATCAATGCAAAGGCCAAATGTCATCTAAATATCCTGTACACCAGATAAGGGTGCATTTCCAGCTCTGATTAATACTGAGGCGTAATTACTGCCCAGCTGAGAATGTGTGACAGGAGACAAGAAGTTACCTGCTTCCAAAACACAATGGACAGACAGGCACAGGACAGTCATTACTATTCCAAAATCAAGGTTTTGGAAAGGGAAACAAGAGTTCGTGGGCCCAGAGCAAGTTTGGGTCCTAGTAGGAAACATTATATTAGATCATAAGGATGGAAAAGAATCCTCTCTGGCTCTAGGACCTGAGGTCTGCTCCCACAAGGGGTGGCAGCCCCACACTCTCTGCCATGGGAAGTGGCGGCCTCCCACCTATCCAGGGCTGCTGCAGTACCTTCTTCTGACGGCCAGGTGTTCCTAACCTTTGGAACCCAGGAGGCGGCCTTGGTCTCAGGAATCAAGGAGAAGATGGCTCTACAGATCCTGGCATTGCACCTCTGGGTCTGTAGTGGCAGTGGCAGTCCTGCCAGCCACTGAACCTTCTGTGTGGTCATTTGCCCCTTTCCTGAAGAATAGCCCATGTTCCCAGTGAGATATAGCTATGGGCCCTTTCCTCGCCTGCCGAGTCCCAGCAGTCCCAACAGTCTTCCTTCGTGTTGTCTGTCCCATCTCTTTCCCCTGAGTTCCGGCTAGCCACCTTTCAGCCAGCATCAAATTCTCAGAATAAGACACCCGTTGGCTTTCCCTACAATCCAAAAGGTTCAAGCTATTGCACAGTAGGGTCCCCCACACGTTTGTCTTGCATGACCGTATCTCCATTCCTGGCTTCTGCTGAGATGGTCAATTGCACCCACGTGTCACATGCCTAAGCTCCCAACTGATGGTTTTCCAGGCACACCCTTGGCCCTTTTTCCAAAGCAGGCTACCTGGTTAGGCTGAGAAGGTTGCAAATCATCGCGTGCTAGTTTCTTCTCATTTCACGCTACCTTCTTCAATTTACGTCTGTCCTCTGGCATTTACTATGAGCAGCAAGGGGAGACCAGGCCATGCCTTCAACCCTGTGTTTACAAATCCCCTCAGCTTATCTGTCCCAGCTCATCATGTGAACGTTCTAGTCTTCACCACACACAAAACACTGGCACATGGTGTGGGCAAATGCTCTGTCACCTGATAACAAGGATGGCCATTTCTTAAGTTTCCAATAACATGCCTCTAATTTCCATCTGCTATCTCAGCAGAAGCACCCTTTTCACTGACATATCTAGCAACATAATTTTCATGATGCCCTATGTATTCTCTAAGATGATAAAGTCTTTCCCCATGGCTCTCCTCTTTTCTGTATGAGCCCGCGCCTGAAATACACTTCATGTCCATATTTCATCCAACAGTCCCTCAAAGCAATCTCAGCTTGTTCTGTCATGTATCTCAAAATGCTACCATCCTTACTCATTACCCAGTTCTTCCCCCGCCCACATTACCCAGTTTCAGAGCCACTCCCAACTCCCTAAGTCTTTGTTACAACATCATCCCACTCCCGGCATCAAAATCTGCATGAGTGTGCTAAGTCTATCCTTACAAAGCACCACAGACTGGGGAGCTTAACAGAAATGTACTGTCTCACAGTTCTGGAGGTTAGAAGTCCAATTCAAGGGTTATGGGCCAGATTACTTCCTTCTGAGAAGTGTGAGGGAAGAATCAGATCCTGGTCCCTCTCTCTCAGGCTCTTACATTACTGACTTCTCCCATTGTTTTGTTTTGTTTTGTTTTCCACATTTTTTTCTCTATGCACATGTCTCTGTGTAACATTCCCCCCTTTTATACAGGCAAAAGTCATTTTGGATTAGTGTCCGTACGAAAGAGGGTATTTTAGCTTGATTGCTCCATTAATGATTCTATCTCCAAATATGATCCCATTTGAGGTCCTGGGGGTTAAGGATGTCTTCATATGATTTTGGTGCAGATGGGGGGTGGGGTGGGGGATAGAACAACGCATGTGAGATATGAAACCCGAGCTGTACATGGGCATGTGCACTGCTTCTTCCATCATATCGATTATTTGTTTTCCCGTTAGAGAAGTGAGGTGACCTCATTCACCACCCTTTTCCACAAGACGGCATTAATGTTGCCTAATTTTATTGTATTTTTTACTTTTCTAGCTTCCTATCTCTGCAAAAGGGAATATACTATGATTTCAATTTTTAGAAATTGATTACGCTATTTTTGGCAATCCATATTTAGTCGATATTTTGAGAATGGCATTTGTACTCTTGAAATACTTCGTAAATGCCTCTGTGAACGATGTCATTCCCTGCAAAACAAATCTGGATAATCTACAAAAATCCAAAACCTTTCCTTAGCCCATCAGAAGTGCCCCAGGAACCACCTATAGTGTCACATCACAAAACTTATTTAGCTATGGCAGAACAATATGACTTCCAGAAAAATAGGGTGGGCAGTTCCAGAAATCGAAGGATACCAGAGAAGGCTTTTGTGTGTAGCAAAGGCCTGAAGGGGTACAATGCCTCTTCCATCACTAGGTGCCAAGTCTGGGTTTTTTGTTGTTCTTTTCTTAGTCCGCCCACCCCCGGTACAGTTTCACCACCTATGTCCCCAGGGTCCTGAGGCATGTTCACAAGGGCCTGAGCCTCTCGCAGAAGACATGCTAGACTGTGGTCCATTTAGAAAAATAAAATCCTGTTTCCCTAAGTTACTTAATTTCTATCCTGCTGATTGCTGCTGGTTCAAAAGGCCCTTTTTGTCCACATAACTTGCAGTGGTTTTTCAAATTTATTCATGCACATTGGTCTCATACATATCATATTATTTAAAAACTCATTTTAAGGGTGCCTGGGTGGCTCAGATGGTTAAGCGTCTGCCTTCGGCTCAGGTCATGATCCTAGATTCCTGGGATCGAGTCCCGCATCGGGCTCCTTGCTCCTTGGGAGCCTGCTTCTCCCTCTGCCTCTCTCTCTCTCTATCTTTCATGAATAAATAAATAAAATCTTTGAAAATAAATAAATAAATAAAAAATAAAAACTCATTTTAAGACCACGAATCCAGAGGAGCTTGGGAAGATGGGAGAGTAGGAGGAGCCTGAGCTCACCCCGTCCCACATTTAAAACTAGATATCATCCAGAAATATTAAATAAACCACATAGCACGCCAAGGACTGGAAGAACAAACCCCACAAGTAAACATAGGGAGGAAGCTGCATCTGAAAGGTTAAGAAGGTCAGAAACGTGGAGGGAGGCTGCCCGCAGGAAGGAGGGAGCTGTGCATGGGGAGAGGGGAGTGAAATGGGACCTCGCACCAGGGAGCTCACCAGG